GCTGAAACAGGAGGAGAGGGGAGACTGCTGCAGCAAAAAGTTCATGGTGTGGTGCCCTGAGGGAGTGTGTGGGCCTCTGTCCGCTAATGTCTTTTTATATGCCATGTGTCTGCTGAGGATATAACAGCACCATCAGAATAAACAAAGCAAGAACAACCACTATACGTGGTTAAAGAGAGGAGGTAGAAATGTGCAGAGAGTGCATTCAGGGTAAAAACTCAACAAAAACCAAGGTGATTGAGCTCTCCAGAGGCCAAAGCAAAAAAGGGAAACACACATTATCTAATAAAAAAAAGCACACACAAGTAGGAAGAGTTCTATCAAGAGCCTCGAGTTCATCAAGAAAGCCTTTAAATAAATCCTGAATAACAATGCAAAAATCTTTAAAATCACTTTTTATAACTGATGCAGAGATGCTGGTCACTTCCACAATCAACTAAGTATCTAGGGTTTATTTTCCAAGCAGAAGCCATTTGGTACAGGTCTGCAGAGACATCTAACAGAAAGCTATTGTTATAGTCAGGGCTTACAAGGGAAACAATTTAATACAGGACACAATTTATAGGATTATTTTAAAATATTCGCCCAGAAAGTCAAATGCAAAAGAGTGTGGAAGATCTGTAAAAACACTAGAGACCCAAAGAATCCAGCTGAGGGGCTGGATCCCACGGTAAAGTCCAGCTGCAGACCTAGAGTCTATGGCAATGTCCTCTATGAGTCCAATAGGAGGCCCAGAATCCATAACAACATCTCATGCAGGCCTGTTTCAAGGATCTGCACTGGGTAGGCCCAAAGTTCAGTGGTGGAAGCTAAAAAGTCTGTGCCAGCAGGGTGAAGGATCTGTGCCAGCAGGCTGAGGGATCTGCACTGGAGCCAGGAGCAACACTCAGAGTTCCCCCGAAACAAACTGCAGCTATCTTCAGTGACAGTGAGGTCTTGAGTTCCTCCAATGATGAGAACAGCTGAGTTCTTATCAGGAAGGCCACAGTAACAAGCTTCTCCAGGAGGATCAACAGCACACCATCTTTCCCTCTGGAGCCAGGAAGCAACATTCAAAGTAAGGAGCAGAGCTCCCCCAAAGAGAACCTCGGCCATCCTCAGCAACAGCAAGAACTTGAGCTCCTCTGAGGATGACAAGAGCTAAGATCAAATCAGGAAAGCCAGTGCGACCCACTTCTCCAGGAGAACCACCTGCACATCACCTTCCCTCCAGTTCTGCTTTTATGCTGTTGGCAACAATCCTCAGGTGGGCCCTCCACACCCAGCATCACACTGAGTCAGTTCAGCTGCATGTTACAAGTTGACCCTTAGTTAATCCATCACAGCTGTGAACACGCGCAGAGCTGGGCTGTCAGGTGCCAAGTTGGCCACACGTGCCTGTTCAAGTTTAAATTAACTCACATCATATAAATGTAAAGCTTGGTTCTCTACAGCACAGCTGCCTGCTAGAGGAGCCCCCAGGTCACCAGCAGGGAGAACCTGGGCCCAGGACCCCACCCATACTCAGGGTAGCAGGTGCAGGAAGGAGCCGGGCCTATGCAGTTCCAGGTAGGATCCACTGTTCCAGTATCCAGGTCTGGGGCGGTCAGTAATACGGACACCCACTTGGTTGCTGAGCATCTTCCAGAACTGTTCATGCTCTGTCTTTACAGACACAGCCTGCTGACCAAGGGCTGCTGCAGGGCTGGCCCGAACCCACAACTAGGGGCCAGTGACAGCTTGGAGCCCTGGTCCCTGACTGACTGCAGATGACGTGCCCATGGGGACACGGCTGGCAGAGATGCTCCTGCTGTGGTCCCACCTTCACACCACCTCCCTCCCTGGGTACTTAGGGACTTGTCACTTGACTTTAGCACCCTAACAGTTGTCCAATAAACATTTCTTGATGGAAAAAAAAAACGTTCTTCCAAGTCATCACAGCTCAGGCATGACACAGACACATGGGGCTACTAATGTATTTCCATCACTGCAGAGGTTCTTTGGGAGTTCATTTAGAGTTTCCAGGTTTTCTAAGTATTTTTACAAAAATATGTCACTTGCTCTCCCAATAAATCCAGTATTTGACTCTGAAGAGCAGACAGCAGTTCTGCCTCACCAGCAGCTTCAGAGGCCTCCAGGGCTTTCCTGCCCCTTCGCACCACGACCCAGAGCTCCAGCGGATCCTGGAATCCACCAGCCCTGCCACCCGTAGGAGGTAGCTCAGAGACCAGAGGCTGCCTGCACCAGCATGGCGGCAGCAAGGGATAAAAAGGAAGAACAGCTCCCTACGAGCAAGCGAGGACAGGCAAGAGGGAGGAGAAACACATTTCTGAGAGACAGCCCCAAGTGTGCCGGCGAAAGGAAGAACAGAGTGAAGCTAGAGCCGCAGCAGAGGAGGTGGGCCTGGGGCCTAGATGAGGTTCAGCAGGAAAGACAGGAGAGGAGAGCGGTCTGCCCAGCCCCAGGCCTCCCCTGCCACTCGGGGGGACAGCAGCAGCTAGTCCTCCAAGCCAAGGAGGAGGCTGGAGGCCGGCGTGCTCAGCAGAGACACCGGCGTGCTGTGTGCACACCTTCCTGCGTGGTCAGGCACACAGATGGCAGGAGCGCAACGCAGAGAAGAGGGCAGGTGAGCAGGCAGAGCTAAACTAGATAGTGAGCATCCTCAGAACGCTGCAAGCACCACACTGAACTCACTTATGCCTCACTGCAATCCCAGGAAGTGGGCACTCCAAGTCCCCTGTTGTGGTTGACAAAGAGAGTCTAATTATCTTATTTGGGGTTACGGAGATAACCACTCCATAATCGAAAAGCACATACGCGCTGTTAGAAGCGTTTATCTCAGGTCACAGCAAAGACAGTAACAATCACTTGGGCTGGAGAGTAGCTCAGGGGCTGAGTGCTTGCCTTGCACATGAGAGGCCCTGTGTTCAATCCTCAGCACCACGAAAAATAAAAAATAAGACAACTAATACAGAAAGATGTTTAACCCCAGATGCAGAGAGGAACACGTGTGCTGCCGCCTTGCGCACCTTCAGGTGGCAGAGAACAAAGCATCAGCTAATCCCCGGGCCACACACTCTTCCACGCCACCTGAACAACACGTAGAGTAACCCAGACCACATCCACCGAAACTAAAGTCCCCACCCTGCAGGTCTCACCTGTACCTTCACTCCATGCTTGGCTGTGAGGAAACCTGGACTCCCCCAGCCCTGTATGAATCTGCAAATATAGAAACAATCTACTTACATCAGAAAGGAATTCATTCAATCAACTGCGGCTCTTGGAAGCAATGAGTCATAGTTGCCAACAAGGCTGAGGCAGGAGAGTGGCGAGTTCAGGCCCAAACTGGGCAGCTTAGTGAGCCCCTGTCTCAAAATACAAAAGGGCTAGGATGCAGCTCAGTGCGAAGGCCCTGAGTTCGATCCCCAAAGAAAAGAAGAATGTGACGGGTTACAGAGTAGAAAAGGCAACAGTGTCTACCACGTGTCCCCATGTAGAGACAGGGACACACACTGCACACTCCAGCAGAGAACAGCCGTAGGAAGATGTGAGGAGCACGGCTCCTCCCTGCGGGAGGACAGACACCCCATGCACTCTGTGCCCACCCTCCTGCCCAGGTGCCTGTGAGCTTGGCTAGGATGGTGCCAGGGACAGGCAAGTGAAGAGCAGCAGGTCCCAGGGTGAGGGGCCCGCTGTGTCAAGAGATCTGTTTCTCACTGCACGTCACAATCCCGGCAGCCCACAGGATGCTGGGAACGGTTAAGAAAGCCGGCCAGGGGGACATGGCCTGGACCCGAACCCTGGCTCCCCCAGTAACTGCTGCGGCACTGCCCAGGTGGCTAAGCTCTCTGTGCCTTGGTTCCCCTCTCTGTCAATGGAGATGATGATGAGATGCTGTGCTGTGTGACCCGCCCCTGCCCCCGCCTTGCATGCTACTACACATCCGGGGCCTCTGACCCCAGGTCCCGGCAGGCAGGGACTCCTACACTGCCCACTTTCTCCCCACCCCAACCACCCATGCCTCCAAGGATGGCCCGAGGGCGCAACAGCTGTGCATGCTGAAGTGATGCCTGCCAAACATCAAAAACTTGATTCAAATACGTAACTCACTCCAGTCAGGCGGAGGGTCAAAACACACCCAGCACCCGAGACTGCAAATCACCTGTTTACAGTCTCATAGTGGCAACTTCACTTTACAGTTTGTCACAAGTCCTGGGGGAAACACTCATCTGAGGAGGAACAGAAAAGAAGGGAGATCCTGAAATCTTCATGGTGCATTTCGAAGCTGCAGGGAAGTGTCTCTGCCCTGTGAGGATCCAACACTAGCCCTAGTTTCCTCAGGGGGCATCGCAAAGTGTCGTGGGCTTTCCCATGAGATTCCTGCACCAGAACCCTCAGATGCCTGAACAGGACCAGGAGCAAACAGCCTCTTGGGAGCTCAGTGATTTGTGGCCCAGACAACAGACAAGACAGAAACCGCTGGGCCACCCCTGCATCAGACGCGGCTGCCTCACTGAGGAGGATCGACAGGCCCGAGCAGGCACCGCCGCAAGCACACCACCTCGGGTGTGGACCAGAACCCCAGGGCCTGAGCCAGAGAAGGAAAAACAAGAGGGGGGTCTCTGTCTGACCCTGTGCTTCACACCCAGAAAATTCCTCCCTGACCCGCACCAAGCCAGCCTCCAACAACCCAGGTAAATATGTAACCCTACACAGACAGCACTCAGAGAGACCAGGGGGCCCTGGAGACCTGCTGAGCCGCTGCCAGACCTGGGCTGGGAGAAGCGTGGCCGTTGGGGCCCTAGCCCCAGTCAGCCCCACTGCAGGTGTTGCTGATGGGGCACAGCAGCCTCTAAACACCCTCACCTGTCCATAACCAACACGGCAATTTCCTACCAGGGCCCAGACACAAACCACCAAGCAGCACGGAGCAGAAAAGAAACCACCTCGCCTCGGCTGTTTCTCCTTTCCAGCCAAGCCACAAAGAAAACAGAGAGGATGACCAAGGTGGCCACACTTACCACATGGGTTGGTCTGAAGGCACTGGCGTGGGCATAGCTGGGGCCCACACTGGGCCTCCACAGGTACCCCCGGCTGGCAAACCAGTGCCATGTGCAGGCGCAGCTCCACAGCACTAAATGGGAGAAGACGTCTGCGGGGCACCTGGCCTGGACAGCCACTCTCTGAGCCCGCCTGGCACTTTCTGAGCTGCCTGTCGGAGCAAATCCTGAGGCTGCAGCAGCTGCCCAGGAAGCACAATGCCTTACATAACTAGGCAGCCGGGGCCCTATCGGCTCATCTCACCCAGTCACCCCAAACCGAAGTGACGCACCCAAAATGCGATACCTCCCGGCTGGGGTGCAGGGCAGGGCTTGCTGACGGTGCTCGGCTCTGCCTGAGTGGCAGTGCCACAGGCGTCCCTGCTGTCCCAGGCTCACTGGGCAGTGGGAGCAACTGGGACTGGGTGCCAGCGCTGTTCTGGGATTGCACTGGCAGAGCCCTAAGGGCCCACACACATTCCCGGGACATCGCAGGATGCCTTTCCAAATCGCATTCTCTCTGTGCAGCCACCTCCCCAACAACATGGCTGCCCCCGGCCCTTAACCTGAAGGGTGCCCATGCCTGTGCTCCCTCTGCCCTGATGCCCCTGCCCTCACCAGACGCCCCATCCTGGCTGCCCTGACCTAGCTGACAGCTCAGCACTGTGCCCTGCCATGCCCATGCCCTCTGCGTGCACGTTCAGAGCAAGGGGAACTGGTTTAACGGGCTGGATGTTCCTGGCCGGCACTGGCTCAGATGTGGCTGGAATCCCAAGGGCAAGGTCACACACCTGGATGGAGGGGGCACAGCTGTGACCCCACTACCAGCAGGAGGCCCTGCCCACCCCTTCCCCTGACCTTGGGCGGGTGTCCTCCTGTGCTTCCCTGCTCATCACGGCATCAACCCTAGTGTGCCTCAACGCATGCCCGCCCACCCACCTCTCCAATGCCTCAACAAACATTCCCCCAGCACAGACCACAGGCAGAACCACCTTAGACACGGGGTCTCAGGGACATACAAGGTCACACCACCCTTGCCTGGAGGACCTCATACTTTGTACACAACCCATGTAGTCAGGAAACCTCAACACTTGACCCTGACCCAGAACAATGAGAAGCTACTGGCAGCAAATGTGTATACTTTAAAGAATCACCAGGCATTATACCAAACAGGAAGCTACAAGAAAAACTGAAGACAAAAATGGAAAATGGTGCCACTTCTGTGTGAAGGATTTGGACTGTACCTGCCGCTGTGACATACACATCCCAACAGCTCTACTCCCAGCCCTCTCCACAGGGCTCCAGGGCCTCAGTGTCCTGAGAGAGACCTCGCACCAAGGGCCTGCCTGGGACACTTATCAGGGGACAGGGGCAACACAGGGGTGACTGGCAGGGATCCCCAAAAGCCAACATCTGACCATGCCTTCTCGCCCCATAACGTGACCCTGCCTCTTCATGCAGGCCCCAGTGAGGAGCTGGGGAGCACACTGCTCAGGTTCAGTGCTGCTGTCTTCGGCCTTTGCAGCTACCCAAGAGGTGCTGCCCACATCTCAGAGGTCAGTGGCTGATACACATGGCCACAGAATAGTTACTGGCAGGGCGGGTGCTGGGTGTAAAGTCTCCCGGGCCAAAGCCCACGCTCCTCTGCACTCTGGGGCCCCCACACCCCTCCCGGCCTTCACTCTGGAGCTGCCCCTCCCTGGTGAGCCACCTCCATACCAGTAATGGTGCAGGCATCCCGGTACCCTCTGCAGCCAGCTGCATCGTCCACAGCCTCGCTCACATAGTGTTCCTCGGGGATGCCCGGGCTGCAGGCTAGGACTGCATGGCTGCACACCTCCGAAGGGGGCACGGAGCTGGCTGAAGTGTCGTCGTGCGGAGCTGTGGCGTCCAGCTTGGCAGGTTTCAGGGGGAGGTGCCCACTGCCATCGGGGGCCCCACTGCCGGAGTCCGGGACGGGCGGGCGGACGGTCCCCAGGAGGTGTGGTGCACCTGCAGGGGCGGCTCACGGGGAACCTAGGAACAAGCAGAGGGAAAGGTGTGATTACGCAGTCTGTAGAAGAGTCTGGAGAAAATCTAGAAAGCACAATACACACTCCCATGACAAATCCTGAGAAGTACCCCTTCATCATGTATCTCCAACAGCGGCCTCAGTTTTGGGGAGAAAACTGCAGGGTCATTGCCTTCCACCAACCAAAGCACAGAGTGTGGGCCTCACTCACCTATTAAAATCCACCTGTAAGAAAGCAAGTAACCTGCGCAGCCCTAGAACACCAACGCCGAGGCCAGGGCATCTGGGCACAGCCACCACGCTGTGCGAGCAGGGCTGTGTACTGTGTCCAGGAGGACGCCCCTGATGTGCTGCTACAGCCCACTTGGCACAAGTGATGCTGCTATGGGTATGACTTACACAAGACAGTTTCTCTTCAACTCTTCTGAACGTTCTCAACTTGCTGAGAACTCAGACTCGTGCCCACCTTCACAGAGAGGGACAAGAGGGGACTCCTCAGAGAATCTGCTGGAAACCACAGGCTCTGCAGGGAGCTCAACCTGCTGTGCACTGTGAGTTGAGGACAGTGGGTAAGGCCTTGGACCAACAGGTCCCGCACACACTCTCTAGGGCCAATGCAGCCCCAGCTGCCTGATGAAGCAGCTTGTGCCTCCACTTAAACCTGCCTGGGACCAATAGCAGATATGAGTGGGAACAGTGTCTGCGAGACCACTGAGGAGCTGCAGCAGGCAACACCGCCAGGTACAGCAGGAGGCACCAGGAGCCTGGGGGACAGGGCAGGCGACCCACATGGCTCCCAGACACATGCCATCTCAGCCGGCAGTCTGAGAATTCCCAGGGCCCCAGGCCTGACCTAGTGCCCTGGAGTCTGCACTGTTTCCCAACATGCTTTCCCTGGCATCCTGGGAGCCTCCGGGACAAGTGCTTACACCTCTGCTCTGGAGGCTCATGCAGGACCAGGACAGGACCTGCATACTCATCTCTAAGACAACACCCAGCGCTTAGAGGCACCGACACAAATGAGGGCGGCACCCTGGGCCTTCCACGAGTCTGAGGAGTCCTGAAACAAAATCATCGGAGGCCCACTGCTCCAGGAAATGACTGGCAAGAAAGTGGGAGAGGGCAGGGGTGTACTCAGTGGGAGGGCATGATTCAAATGCTCGAGGCCCCACACTGGGCAAGTGGGGAGGTTAACAAATATTTGACCCAACTTTCAGTTCTAACAAAACTATGGCTGTGAATTCGCAACATTCTCCTCCACAAGACATACTAACAGTTCCTCTTACTAAGAAACTTGGCCTTGTAGTAAGCGCCCAGCCCCCATGAGGTGCAGACAGAAAGGGAGCAGGCAGCTGCACATCCCCAGGGAAGGAAGCCACAAGCCCTCGAGCTCCCCCGCATAACATGGAGACAGAGCTAGGTCAGCACTGGGCTCAGCCGGGCACAGCAAAGCCCTGGGCAGGCAGGCAGGAGCCCCCAGGGTTGGCAGAGGCGATCCTGAGCCAGGACGGGGATCCCCAGGCGAGGCTAAGGGAAGGGGAGCTACTGAAGTGGCCTCGGGGGTCACACAGGGATGGGTGGTGCAGATAAGGGTCTGACCCATGATCTGGACAGGGATTGAGAGCCCGTTGGGGTGGGGAAACCGTCACGCTGCACCTGTGTATCTACACAGACATTAGTGCTTGTGTTTCAACAAAATGAAGGGATGAGTGGGTACGGTACTGAGTCTCAGGAGCTGAGATGTCACAGAAGCTAAGAAAGCACACTAATCAGTCTTCCAGAAAAGTCAAAACAGGCGTGGGGCTCGAAAGAACGAAACACATACAAAGCACACTAACGGTTCAGTGACTCCACAGCTGAGGACTTACACCTTCTAATCCAAAGGCTCTGAACCAAGATGCAGCCAGTGCTCAAGAGAGAAACACACTCCTGATCTAGTGAGAATTTTAAATCCAAAATATACAGATTTTAAAATCTAACAAACATGAATTAGGAGATAAAAAAAAAGCATCCCACATTCTAATACCACTCGAGTGCCAGGGAGTAAGTTCTTGGAGATTTAAGTGATAGCATGTCACAGTTCCATGTACATGTGAGCTCCTTCTCTCTCTCTCTCTCTCTCTCTCTCTCTCTCTCTCTCTCTCTCTCTCTCTCTCTCTCTCTCTCTCTCTCTCACACACACACACACACAATAGAAAGCCACTGTCCACACTCAGAAATGCAGTCTAGAGCAGCCGCAGTGCACAGGCCATGTCTCACAGGCTCTCACCAACAGACAGCCCGACACACAGCACCCAAAGGCAAGGAAGACTCAGCAATGTGAAATGGGCTCTGAGACTACACCAGAACACTGAGAATTCCTGCCTAGATGGAGTCCAAGATGCACAACCCTAAAGCAGATGGCTCCAAAGAAAAGTGAGTAAAGGACAGAATTGCCCTTCCCTGGCCAACAAAGAGCTCACATATACACATCCCAGGCATTTTAAGGGACACCAGCAGTGATTTAAAAAAAAAAAGCTGTCAGACCAGAAAAGATTTAAAAAGTTGTAACAAGACACATGCAGTGGTGCACACCTACAGCCTAGCTACTCAGGAGGCTGAGGAAGGAGAGTCTCCTGGTGCCTGCCTGGAAACATAATGACACCCCTACCCCAGAGGGGGAGGTGACTATGCTCAACTTGGCAACTGTTTTAGGAAACTCGTAATGTTACAAATTCTTGCAGGAGGGGGAGGAGTACAGAAACGTATATGGCTCTTTGGCCAAGTACCAGTGTGCCAGAGATGTTTATCACGCAAAATGCTACTAAACAAGCTAACGTGCAGCAAGGGAGATCAAGTCGCTAACTACGTGCAGCCAGAGGGAAGTCAGTGTGCCCCCACCGAAAGCGAGTTCCAGAGCAGGCACAGCCTCATCCACATGGGAGACACTGCAGGGACGGCAGGGACGGACATGAACTGCAGGCGGCGCTAACGCACCGACAAGCCAAGCCTTCACTCCAGCCTTCCTGCCTGTGTGTGACCCTCACATGAAACCTGAAATACCTTCACCCTTATCAAAATGTAGCTGTTCCACTAAAAACTAGGTTTTGTTTAAATCCACGTTAAAAAAAAAAAAAAAAAAAAGGTTCTAAAACATAAAGATTCTCAATGACTTTGACCAAAACTTCTGCTCCTGCCATCTACAGGACAGGGGAAAGAGAATCTTTTAGAGTTCACAATGATACAAGCAGCCCACTGAGGCACGTGTGCCACAGGGTCACCACCCATCTGTGGGATGAGGGAGAGGGTTAAACCCTCACCATGAGCCCTGAGTCACTGTTTGTCCAGGACTGTGTCTCACACACTCACCCCAGGACCATACTATCATCAAATGAATATTGGAAGTCAACATAATTAACATAAGCACTTAGGTTTTGTTTTGTTTTGTTTTGTCTTTTTGAGGCAGGGTTTCGCTATGCAGTTCAGGCTGACCTTGAACTCATTTTGTAGCCCAGGCTGGTCTCAAACTCACAGTGATCCTCTTGCCTCAGCCTCCCAAATGTTGGGATTACAGGCGTGAAGCACCATGCCTGGCTAATAAGCACTTCCTAAAAACAAAATTCCAAAGACATCAACACAGGCTCACTTCCCCTTCAAAAGTGAACACAAGCAGCAGTTTTGAAATCCCGAGAACATTTTATATCTCAGCAACTGACAAAGCCATTCAAAACCTTGAGTCCCTTTCAAGTGAAAAGACCAAACTCTTACCAATTGAAATCAATGGGGGGAATAACTTAAATTCCTATGGGTCGAAAAGTTATGAATACCGCACATCCAGGCTACGGATTCTGGAAGACAAGATAATTCACGTTAGGCACCTCCTTTGTGCCTGCAAAACTAAGTTCCCCAAGCATCACTCACCCTGGAATTCCCAGTTCTCAGAATCAAACCCCTCTCGGATCTACCCTGGCACATGTGCTAGCACTTCCAAATCATTCTCCACGTGCCCTACTCTTGTGGCACTGATTCCACAAAGTCCACACTGTGCACCCCCCACCCCCCCACCGGTCCACAGCTGCACTGGCCCAGGAGCTCCCGAGAGCACGGGCCGCGGCGGTGACATCTGTGAGTCCGACAGGAATAAGACGCAGGGCATGCGGAAACAGCTCTGAGGTGAGGTCCTGTGGTCCACACAGGAACAACAGGGTCTAACTGGAGAGCTGCACCCTGCCAACCTTGAGGACTAGCTGAAGCCCTGGGAACGCAGGAAGTGCTCCTGCAGGCCCCCCACAGGCAGCCACAGGGTGCTCTGCAGGATGCCACCCACCCCCGCTCGCTGCCTCTTCAGCGCACAGCAGGTATGAGGGCCGAGACACCTCATCTAGACTACTCAAAAGCTGGGTGCAAGGGGCAAGGCTCCGGAGTGGGGCTGAGAGGGACTCCAGCGATCAACATTCACTGTGCTCCTGTGAGGTCACTCAGAGCAAACTGCCGGGGGGACGCTCAAGGCCTCCTTGGGCTCCGAGATCGGAAACAGCCAGGTGGACACCTGAAAAGAGAGGCCAGAGGCTGCCAGTGAGCCTCACCTGCCCACGACCCACATGTCCCCTGCTGGGGATGGAAGGGAAGTGCCCAGGTTTCCCAGCTGCTGCGGCAGCAGCAAACAAGCCCCTGCAGGGCCCCGAGCCTTGGTTTCCTCTGCAGAGTGGCAGTCCCCACACAGCAAGCTGCCAGACTGCAGTCAGGCTCCTCAAAAGCACTCCTTCATTGTCTCAGAGGAGTGACCCCTGAAGCCCCTAAAACTGCAGTTCTGAACTCCAGGGCACACCTGTAAGACCATGACACTGCCAGTTCTCACTGGGAGCCCTGGTGTGTGCTGGCTGCTGTGCCAGGGTGGTGCAAGCCCTAACCTGCACAGCCCAGTACCACCCACCCCTCAAGCCACAGTGAAAGTCCTTAGCTAAACGTGGCTACCAATCCCACTCATGGTACAGCTCAGGGAAACACTACTCAGAGAGGCTCACAA